ATTTCTCTCATTGTAAATCTGTAAGGAGTTTAATTGTGTTGTTAAGAAGCAAAGACAGATGAAAGTGAATAAAAGTAAAGTATTTATTTCCAGAACTTTCAGAATCTACTGGTGCAATGGATGTTTACTTGTATAACTCGTGGCTTCTTGAGTTTCTTTTTGTAAAGACTGGTTATAGGACTTATTGACACCTACTGATATATAAGTTCTCTTTCGATGACTCAAAAAAGAGTTGTGCTCGATTGCATAAAGCCCGTGATAGTACCGTAGCTCCAATACTAGCTAAAGGGTGCTTGTTTGTGGCATTGAGTTCTTCCTTTGCTTGTGCTAATGGATCCTTTTTGACTTTAAAGGGTAAAGATATTTGTACATAATTTAATGTACCGAATTGTTTACCTCCTCTCACATGCACGCGGGTTTCGCGTGAATAAAAAAATCCCAAGATGTGGTCCCCCACCCCCTATTGTGAGTAGTCGGTAAGGGATTAGATAAAAAAAACTTGGTACATGTAGTATTATCCTTTTTTAAATATTTGTTTATTTCAAGAAAGGTGATTCACCATCAACTGTTAAAAGGAAAATTGGAAGAATAGAATAAAGAAAGTAAAAAGAAAAATAAAAAAACAAGATACTTGAAGAAGTGGGGAGTGGGCCATACTCCAATTTTGAATAGTGGATTGGTGGGTATTAATTTACAGTATCTAAGTAAGGTGTTATAATTATAACACAATTTGTTGTTGGAAAGATGCAAAAAAGTTGGTGCTTCTGCTGAATGCTAATTCGTCTTTATTCTTTTACAAATTTAAAATTTCTCTCAAATGGACCATACCTCAAAATTAGCAAATCTTCACATTTTAATAATCTATACACAGTTTGACTAAACAGAATTAGATATAATACACAGAGCACAAGGAGGAGTAGTAACTCTTCAAGTTCAAAAAAAGTTTGGCTGGTGTAATGTCATGTTTGGTTGTACTTATTTTGTTAGGTTTTTACTACCAAAGATTTTCTAGTATTCATTATAGATACCTTAGGAAAAATAATATTCGGTTCCGAGATTATATAGGTTTAACTCAGTAAATTTTAATCTTTGGCATACAAGAACCAATGATTTTCAACAACGTGGGATGTCGGAATTTGAATAGTGAAAAGGGTAAAAAGGTAAATTCAGCACAAAAATGGTGCAGTTAATTAGGGGTACGACCACCCATTTTTCTGACTCGAAAGCTCCAAAAGCCCAATTTACGAGGGACCATTCTGACATTTCCCTTTTAATTTCGTCCTTAATTTGATTCTTTTTCTTTTCGTTACTTCACCTTCTTTCTTGTTGTCAATTATGAATCTCTGTTGTATGGTTCAGAGCTTTGTACCATTCTCACATTTACTACCCCAATAAATTCCAAGCAACAATGAATTCCAATATATATATATATATAAATTTTTTTTTTTTTCAAAACTCCATCTTTCAATCCGCTCAAAGATTTAACACGATTAGTTATTGAATACACAAATACTGAAAATAAGTCGAGTGTTATTCATTTGTTCATTCACGAGGTGTATCTGAGACATTTTAGCCCTCTTAAATCTGTGTGCATCGACTGTGTATTTATGTTGGTCACGATATGTAAATTGTAATTTTTGAATATGCAACTAGACGAGCGCTATGCACAACTTTTATACACGACGTGGTTCCTACGTGCTTACATTCTTTTTGGCTTATAGTAACTAGGATTTGTGCTTTTGCGAGTCTTTTGAGTGAAAATGGTAAGACAAAAAGAAAAATGATGTGTTGAAAGGTAGCCAAAAAGGTGAATGAGAAAAAATATTATTTACTTTTTTGTAAATATAATTGAGTTTCCATATATATTCATCCATCATCACCTTTGAAGCATTTGGTCATCATGCCAAGCTTAATAATTGATGACAAAAACGAAAGAGGAAAAATTCAATGCAAACAAATATTTGCATAATTTTGGCTTGCTTACTTTTGTACTTCTTGCCCAACATTGAATAATACAGTATAACTAGAGGAGGGTGATCGGATGGGATGCGATCAGATCGGATAATACTATCAATAATAAAAATAATGAAAAGAAGTTATAATTTTGTTTATTAAAAAAAAAGGATGAGCCGCATTCTTGACGGTTCCCACTTGCCCTGCCCTAGACCTTGATGAATGAGGTAAATCGCAGATTATGTCTCCAAGGGTATATGGTGGAAGGCTGTTTGTACACTTGTATTTACCAAATGGTCAAATCCATATTTCAGAATTCAAACTCTTGACGCGCAACTTCAAAAAAAGTTGGAGTTTTTCCACTTTCCCCTTTTATCACTTGGAGATGTGCCCTGAGGGCTATATTTTTGTTTATTATACTTTCTGACGGTGGCTTGTGAATGCTTCAAACACACATCACTTGATCTCTTTTAATCGACATTCATAATTTTTTTCTTTTTAATGACACATTTTTTAAATAAATTATTTTCCACTTCTAATAATCTCTCCCAAAAAAAATTTAAGTTTGACTCAACTAGTAAATAAACGTAATTGTATTCGTAATCTCTGTGAGATCTAAATTCTGTATTTAAATCATTTTAAAGGATCTCTATTGTTGCTAGGAGTAGGATTAGGACCAAGACTTTATGCACTTGCTCTTCAATTATCATATTGGTTTCATAAATACTTATCTTTGAACAAAATAATTATCTCTTTGACTATAAGTCCAAGACCATCTACTTTTCTTTCAATAATTTGTGCCAACATTAGTTTCTTCAAATTATCCATAATTTAACGTGCAATTTATCATCATAGTGATTGATCATTATTTTATGGAATAATTGCAGCAACGGTATCAAATTTTTCATTTAATAGCAGACTTTATCCAAATATTTCATTTGTGTCATCCACGGTACCAAACATTTCATTTGTGTCACCCGCGTTACCAAACCTTTCAAAATGTCGCAGCTGAAGTCCAAATGAATGGTTTTTGTTAGTTTGACCATTAGTTGACCAAATAATTGATTTTGACAATAATTTTGACTTATTTTTAAAATGTTAAAATGGTAATTTTACATTTTTAATAATAAAAAAACCAAAATCAAATAATTAAAATTAAAACCCCACCCCACCCTCACCTTCTCTTCCATCGTCAGCTTTGGGGAACATTTTGACCCTGAAACAATTAAATCTCTCGTACAACACATTTTCATCAGGCCAAGTCAGGTCGGATCCCGTCGGAGCTTGAAAATATCACGAATCTTGAGGTACTATAGTTGACGCGAACTAATCTGGTGGGTGGAATCCTAGAGTCACTCAGTCAACTCTGAAGGCTCACAGACTTAGATGTGACTCTCGACGCGTTAACGGGTGGAATCCCGAGTTCACTCACAGAGTTGACGAGCATAGTACAAATTGAAGTCTACAACAATTCATTGACCAGCGAGCTATCGAGTACTAGATGGTCAAACATGACAGTTTTGAGGCTGTTAATTTGAGTGGGTTGATCCCGATCGAGCTGTGCGAGTTGCCACTCGAGTCACTCAACTCGTATGAAAACAGATTCCATGGTAAATTACCAGAAAGCATTGCCAATTCGCCTAATTTATATGAGTTAAGCCTCTTTCAGAACCGGTTAACTCGTAAAATACCCCTAAATCCTAGAAAAAAGTCGTCTTTATGATGAATTGATGTTTCGACGAACAGGTTTTCAAGTGAAATGCCTAAGAATTTGTATTCAAATGGTGCTATGGAAGAGGTTTTAATGATTGAAAATTCACTTTCCGGTCAAATTCCGACAGCTCTAGTAGAATGTCATAGCTTATTGCGTGTAAGGTTCGGACACAACAGACTTTCCGACGAAGTTCTTACTGGTTTTTGGGGTCTTTCTCACGGTGGGGGTGAAGAAGAAGGTGAAATGAGTTTTTAATTTTAATTATTTGATTTTGGTTATTTTATTATTAAAAAAAATGTAAAATTGCCATTTTAACATTTTAAAATCAGTCAAAATTATTGTCAAAGTCAATTATTTGGTCAAATAACGGTCAAATTAATAGAAACCATCCATTTAGAATTCATCTGCAACATTTTGAAATGTTTGGTACTGTGGATGACATAAATGAAATATTTAAGCAAAATCTACTACTAAATAAAAGATTTGATACCATTATTGTAATTATCCCTTATTCTATATATTAACACAATGATATTAAAATATCCCAAGAATATCACTATAACAAATAGCATTACTCTAATTTAACACGCTTATATATGGGGAAACTTCACAATTGGTCCCCAATCTATTGTTCAAATAGTAATCAGTCCTTAACTTTAGAAAAGAACTAGTTAGCCTTCAAACTTTCATTTTAGAACAACTAGCTCGAAATTCATTGAGGGAACATCTCATAGAAAGACACTTCACCTCCAAATTCTTGGATCGGGCTTGAGAAAGTAAAATATAAAAATAGCCTAGGTATCGACTAAGAAAATGTAAAGAGTCAAGGATTACAATAAAGGATTGAACGGGGAATTAAAAAGTTAAATAATAAAAATAATTGGTGAAGAACGAGCCTATTTCATATTTGGAGTTCTTAATGGGTTCTAAATATCCTATTTTTTTCATGTAATAATCAGTTTATCATTAACTTGTTATTGAAGCAATAAATTAGGGACCAGCGTTGCAATTTTCTCATTACACGAAGCCATGATTATGGAGGACGAAATGAGCAAAAGATTCTGATCTGACGGTACAACAAAATGATCTACAATTTCATCATCAAGATTCAACAACTGAGTGACCATACATTTATTTAACTTTTTCTATTACTAGTAAAATCACAACTGCCAGTGATTCTCGTGACTTTAATCTGCACAAAACAATAATAAAATCATAGCTACCCCCACTCCACTCCATTCCACTTCACCCCCACGCCCACCCCCACAATAAAAGAGGCCACACACACTCAAAGAGTGTTCAAGGCACAAGGTGGTGGAAGAGAAAAAGAAATATGCAAAGTTCAGGTTCGTTCTTGAGGCAGTTAAGTGGAAAAGAAGGATGGAAATCAAGATCAAGGAGGTGGGATGGTGGTGGAAACAACCGGAGTTGCGGCGGTGGTGTGTGGAAGGAAAGTCTGAAACAAATGGAGGGACTTAACAATATGTATAGAAATGAGACTGGAATGCAGTATGGAATAAAGAAAAGAGTAATGGTGGTGGTGGATCAATCTTCACATTCAAAACATGCAATGATGTGGGCACTTACTCATGTTACTAATAAGGGTGATATTCTCACTCTTCTTCACATTGTCCCTTCTTCTTGCAAAGGCTCCGCCGCCGGCGGTGATGGTGGTAACTCTCCTCACCTTGCCACCACCCTTGGCTCACTTTGTAAGGCTTGTAAGCCTGAGGTTAGTTTTAAAACTTCTAGCATTGAGTGTTTCGATGGATTTTTGTTGATAGATTTGGGTGCCATTTTTAGCATATCAAACTCGAAAACCAGTTGATATTCTTATCTTTTGATCTCGTTGGACTGTGTGGAACCTAATCATATTCTCGACTTATCTCGTAGATTGCGGATCCACCTAAACATACATGTATTAGGTCTTTATAATCTCATTTTATTATCATTAATTGTTCTTATGATATGATTGAAATTGGAACTTACACAAGATATGACTTTTGTTGTTTTTCTTCCACTTTAAAGTTTACAACTTTATTTTGCTTCAATTATTCAGTCAAAAAAGAAAGAATTTTTTCTCCCTTTTATCAGAAGTTATGATTTCTTGCAGACCCTTTAATTTCCTTGTCATCTTTCTGCAATCTGTGGACCTGCAATTTTTTCTCATCTAATTAAATTTCTTTTTCCTTCTTTTTTATTGTAAGGTTGAAGTAGAAGCATTAATGATCCAAGGTTCAAAGTTGGGCACCGTCATGAGCCAGGTGAAGAAGCTTGAGGTGTCTGTGCTAGTCCTAGGTCAGAAGAAACCCTCCCCATTACTCAATTGGTGAGTTCTTATTGTGTGTTTTACAATAAATCTATTTTCTAGTTCCTATTTTGTTGATTTCTATAATGATTTATTTTCGTGGGTTATGCAATTTTGGCAGCCTTTGCCTGAAGAGCAGCACAGAGGAATTTGTAGAACAGTGCATAAATGTGTTGGATTGCTTGACAATTGGAGTAAGGAAGCAAAGCAAAGGAGTTAGTGGATACCTTATCAGCACCAGATGGCATAAGAATTTCTGGCTTTTGGCTTAAATTACTGCTTAATTTAGAGAAGTATTAATTTGGGAAATAATTACTTATTGTAGTAAATATGTGTGTTGTTCACTGGCTCTGTCTAATTCCAAAAAACACTAGTATGTAATTTTACCCTTACTCCTAACTAGATTTATAATAGCACTTAAAATAAACTGTACCCTCTTCTGTATCTTCATACTTCTGCACTCTCTTTATGGTTATTGTTCTGTTCTTTCTTGTGTGAGGGGTTGAAGTTGCGTCGACCGGACTGGCTGAGTAGTTGGACACAGAATAACCCGTCGATCTAATTTGACACCTCTATAAATATGTTAATCAATATATAGGTTAAAAATGCATAACTTTCAAGATTTTCTTTTCCAATGTATAACCTAACTGGTGATTACACAACGAAGAAGAAAACTCGTCATCTTCTATTTCAGGAACAATTTATTACCACTGTCGCATACCTCTTGCACAAACAAAGCAAGGATAACCTCATTTGTCTAATTTTTCGTTGACCAAAGGACTCAACTCTGTTGAGCCCCTCAGAATCCGAGGGGTCCCTGGTTGCTGTTGCGAGAGCATCTGCCTTGTGTACCCGTAGAATGTACATCCAACTAGTGTAATAGCACATCCAATGGCATTCAAATCCGAAATTGGGTTCCGAAAAATGAGCCATGAACATGTAACCGCAACTGCAACCTGAAATGCAGTCATTGGAAGTTTTAAGAATACTGGCAACGTTGTTAACAAAGAGCCTGATGCAACTTGTAAAATGATGTGCAATTAAATAGAAAATAAAAAACAAAGGTGGATGATCCAGTCTTTATAAAAATTCCGGTTGTGAGTTGACATAGAAACGTCCGTACATGACATATGGAAGGTAATCAACTAAGCTTAAGAATGAGGTAGACTCACCTTAAGGTTTCCTGCAACATTAAAGGTGACAGCGGTTGTAGAATGAATGACGTAAAAGATAGAAAAGTTTAGGCAAAATGCTAACACTCCCGACCCAAAAATAATGACGAGAGAATTCGAAAGTGAAGGACATGTATGTAACCATTCTATAACCCCTGATCCTTCCAGTAGCACAGCTGGTACAGCCAGGATCATAGTTGCAAATGGTGCCATACGATAGACCGTGTTTATGCTGCAGTAAACACAACGATAGAATTGAATCATTAGTAATAATTAGATCGAAGTTCTTATCAGTCTGATTAAAAAGAGCTATATAAGAAATTTTATCCTGTTTGTTCAGCAAAATCGAAGAGTTTCGATCCTTTTCTAGACAGGATAATAATACCTATCAAATTTGTAACCATGTAGTAGAGACTCTGCAAGGATGGTCTTGGTCGAAGTAGCAAGGCAGCCGAATAAAGCAGCACAAAACCCAAATGTATTAAAACTAAGCTCTGTCATAGAAGTGAGGAGAATCCCTCCGACAATAGGAATCAAAGAAGCCCAAATTCGCCAGTCGAAGTGCTTTCTCCAGACTAGCCACTGCAAGATAACTGTTAAAAATGCAATAGAATCATATACAACTTTCCAGAATTACGCAATTACACACCGACGCACAGAACTATAGGCAGTTCATTAACTTAAGTTAGAGATAATATTACATTCAATAAAACCACTTAAGTTCTTGCATATTTGATGATTATCTTGTCAAAACTCACCAGTTGTTGCCGGGGTAAACGACTTTATGGTTTGCATAAAAGAAACAGGTATATAACGCAGGCTCACATTCCCCAAAACTATGTTGATACAAAATACAAACGACATGGGAAAAATCCTCCTCCAATGATCTTCAGTTTCAACTGGAATAAGCGGCTTAAGTTTCAGCACTTTAATTACCAGGTATGCGCCGATTGCTGAGCATATGAAGTGTATACACGAGACTGATAAAGGATACTTGAAATCCAATTTCTATTAAGCAGGAAAAAAAATGTATAAGCAACAATTATTATCATAACTTTATCGGCAAAATTTACGTTGAAGATATTTATCAAAATTAGAGTCAATATACAAATATGTGAACTTCAGTCGAAGTTATTAATCAAAAAGTGATCATCTAAGTTCGACTTTATGAAATCATCCTCGATAAATCAAGAATTGCAGCATTGATCGATCATGAGTAACAGCCACATATACAGAGTTTGAACGAACAAGAATGAATAGTCGAAAGGAAATACATACCACGACAATGTATTGTAGTGTCCATGTTCAAATCTAAACAAAACATTGAAGACACAAATAAATAAAATCCACTCCTATCACCATTTACATGTTCAATTCTAAAGGAAACGATGAAGACATAAATAAAATTCACCCCTATCATGAGAAAAAAGAAGCTAAGCTATTCCAATTAACTTAGAATTGGCTACACAAATTCTCTTTGAACACACTATTTGATCCAACACTAGATGTACAATATAATTAACTCTTTTCCAACCATATCAAGCCATGTTAATTTTGCTTTATCTCCCATTTTCTAACTTCTAATTGAATCATAAATTTCTTTACTTCGAATCCTACAATTGGTACCACTCTAGTTATTGACATATATCCTCCACTTGTAATCAATGATAGTAGAAAATTAACTAAAACGGTTGACCCAAAAAATTGCCAAGGGCCTAGTTAGCAGGACTTCTATTTTTGTTTTTGTCTTGTTAGTGTTTGGAAACTAGTTAGGGATGACAAAAAAATTCGACAAACCCGATACTCGCGGGGATCCACCCCGAAAGGAGCGAAAATAACCCGCTTAATCGGGTATTCGAGGCGGGGATGGGGCAGGGACGGGTAACGGGCGCTCCGTCCCGTTTAATTTTTTTTTTTAATTCAATATTTTAAATGGAAAATTTTATTAGTTCTAATAGAAAATGACAACTAAAATTGTTTGTCTCAATCTAATGAATGTGGACAATAAAAATAAATTATCAAAAACTTAAAAAAAAAAAAATTAGACGGGGTAGTAAACAGGGCAAGGATCCCGCCTCACCCCGCCCCGCCTTGCCTTAAACGGGTAACGGGGCGGGGGAGGTTGCCCCAACCCGTCTCGTTGCCATCCCTAAAACTAGTTTCTAGTAGAGCTTTTTCTCCCGGAAAAGCTTTAAATGGAAACCACATTGAGCCATCTAAGATCTTCTAATTAAAAGAAATATTTTATAAAACTAAAAACAGCTTTTGGATCTCAAACGCTTCTTTTGGCTTCTCAAAAGCCATGCCAAAATACTTTTTTCTCCCATTCGATACTTGTGGAAATAACATGAAGATAATCCAATAATGAGCATGATTCTAGCTAACAATTAATAAATCTGATTATGAAAATAACAATTTTAACTTAAAAGAAACAAACCCAGGAAGAAAATTGTATAGAACTTAAAACAAGCATAAATGAGTGCATCAGTGTAAATAGTTACAGACCTGAAAGATCCATTTGTTCATGATTATAACAGTGACATTGAAACTCCACCATTGAAGAATGGCCAATATGGATCGAATTATACTCCAATTACACAACTCACTTTCCTCCATGATTCTTTGATCAAAATTCAGTAGAAATTTGCTAAAAAAAGATCAAATAAACAGAAAAGAAAAGAACACAGTTGGATTTTAAAAGTTTATAAGGAGAACAGAGAGCTAATGTGAAGGAAAAGGGTGGTGATGCATTGGTGGAATGGGGTGGTGGCAGGCTCTAAGAATGCCATAAAAGCGAAGTCTTCTTAGTCTGAGAATTTTTTGTTTGTTTACTATGATTTCCAGTGTGTTTGTATGAATTTCACCCAACAATCACGCAATTGGCTGGGGGAGTGATTATGTTGGGACGAGAGAACTCGGGGTTATTTGACTTGTTTTAAGTAATTATTTGAAAATTTCTCATTTTCTCCTAGAATCACTCTCACACCGAGGGTGTGTTTGATTGGTTTATTTTTCATGAAATATGTCATTTTTTCAGCCAAATTCTTACTTTTGGATATTTGATTGATTTCTTTTCCATGAAAAATATATTTCAAAAATTAGTCACGTGATCATATTTTTTCTCAAAAACAAAGAAAACATTAATTTTAGAAAGGTGTAGATTTTTGTTTCCAGACAATTTACTCATTCTCTCTCTCTCATCTACCCCTCTCTCTCTCTCTTTATCTACTCACTAATAAAAAATGGACAAACACAACATTTTTCATATTGAAAATTAAATCAATCAAACACATTTAATTAATAATTTTCGTATAAATTTCATATTTGCAATCAAACACATTCTAAAAGCTAATTGAAAGTTGTAAAATAATTAAGTATTAGGGAGTTGATGTGGTGCATTTGGGGTGGGTGTATTTGGGATTTTCATTTTAATTAAGAGTTCATTGAATCAAAATCGAGTTGTGAACGAAAGATAAACCTTTTAATCTTTGTTATTTATATGTAGAGTTTATCGTTTATTTAGTGTAAGTGGTTTTTCATGACGTGATGAAGACCTAAAGTATATGTTTTGTTAACAAAAAAATTGAGAGAAGGAAAGATTAGGCATTGAAAAATATGAATTAATTTGAAGTCAAATGCCATATTGAATCATTCGAATTCTTGATTGACTTGCACTTTATTTTAGCTATTTACTTGGTTTTTAATTATTATATAATTTATTTATTTATTTTTGAAACGATTATTTTAAGTAAACAATAGAGGAATGAATAATCATAACAGAAGAAAAGAGCCAAATGAGTTGGAGTCTTCAAGTCATGCGAAGAAATCCAAAAAGTCTTCGTAAAAGGAAATTCCTTCGGAGACCACTTTAGTAGCATATCTAGTGCAGGGAAGAGAGCAGCCCAAACTCAAACATGTTGAAAATATGGTGAACCAGAGCACAATAGGAGGAGCTGTAAAAGGCCACCACCACCAGCAAGCAATTAGAGACACATTTTCTGTGTTTACAGTATGTTCTGTGTTTAAAATTCGTTTTTGTTGAATGCAGTTGTAGTGCCAACCTAAAGAAGTTGTTGACTTGTAAATTTCTTTGTTCATATGTTTGAATCTTCAGCAGTATAACGGTCGAAATTGGTGTTGCTAAAAGTCTCCATTTTGCCAATTATAGATGTAAATTTGGTCTACTCTTAATTCCAATGAAGTTTTTTTGTTCAGTATATTCTGTTGCTGTTTTGAATTTTTAGTTTGATCTGCATGTTGAGTTGCCATGGTTTATTAGTATCTTGAGTCGATGTGCTTGATTACGATCATTCTGTTATTGTGAATGAAAGGGAAGCTTATAAGATACAACAAGGCCTTTTTCACAAAAACCTAAAACGCAGGGGCGTTATGCGCGGAAATTGTAAAGACATAGGGACAATTTCCGCAACAATCTTTAAAACGTTGGGATGTTTTATTCATACATAGTTTGAACGTTGGGATGTTTTACGCAAAACATTTTGTAACGTATGGACGATTTTCACATGTTCAAACTTGGGGAAAAACATATTGACATCTTCAGCTTCTGATGTAGAATTCTGGGATTGAGATTTGTGATTTTGGATATCGATTTGTCCGGATAGTGGTAGAGGATTAGAGTAGGTGTGAAAGCCAAAATTCAATTTTCGAAATGCGTCAACCATGGTGATGATGAACATTGGACCTTCAAAAATGCGTCAATCATGGTAATGATGATGATGAATAGTGGTTTCAAACGTTTTGTTAAAGGAAATCCTTTTCTTTCCTTTTTTTTAGAATAACTTGTTTATGACTCTATATGATGTGGACTGCGTCCAGAGAATTCTTGACTCATGGATTGGATGATTAATGATGCCCAACTAATGGGATCACTATCACTGACACCGATCACAATGGTAGCCAAGCTAATTGATGGGTACTTTGAGGAGGCTGCCCCATCTGTTAATCTGAAGCTCCCCAAGTTTCAGTCCATTGCTGTTGTTGTCCATGGGTATGCACAACCCTTGGACGATGGCGGGATGAAGAGGTTTTTGAAGTGGCATGATCATTTTACCTTTTGAGTTTCAAATTAAAATTAAGTTCAGGTATACATTTAATGGTAAAACTCACAGCAAATGAACGAAATGACGTTTTCCACAATGAAACGTTGGAATAAGGGTGAAAATGCAAAAAATTGAAATGTATGGACGTTTTGCATACAAAAGGTCAAACATAAGGACATTTTGTGTGAATAAGCCTTTTTACTATATTTCGTATAGCTTTCATCCTTATATTAAATACAAATAAAAATAAGAGGTGGAAAGTAGAGGTAAAAAAAATGCAAACTCTGATATACATGCTCAATTGTGGTTCGCAGTAACATTAATAGTTTAAGGATGACAAAAAATCTAACAAACTCGATACTCACGAGCCTCATCACGAACGGGGTAGGGATTACTCGCTTAATCGAGTATTCGGATCGGGGACGAGACTAGTAACTTCGCCCCGAGGTGGGTATAGGAAACTAGTACCCCACCCCACCCCGTTTAAATTTATCTTTTTAAATTTTTTTTAGAATTCAATACTTTAAATAGAAAATTTCACGAAATTTTATTAGTTTTAATAAAAAATGGCAAATAAGATTATCTAAAAAATATAACAAATAATAAAAATTTTAGTTTACCAAATAAATTTGAATAATTTAACTTTTAAAAATAAATAAAAAATTTTAAAATATATTATTGTCTCACTTTTATGAATGAGTGCAATAAAATGAATTATTAAAAACTTAAAAAATAAAATTAGACGAGTAACGGGGTGGGGACGGGGCGAGAAATTTCCCGGCAAGGTGGGGGGGTTGTCCCGACCCTCGCCCCGTTGCCATCTCTATAACAGTTTCTCGATATCTCAATTGCAGCACAAATAAATTAGAGTAAGAATGCAATCCCTGCCCCGCCACTATAATAGTTTCTCAATATCTCAATCGCAACATAAATAAATTAGAGTAAGAATACAATCAAATGTAATAAAAACTTTTGGTACAAGATAACTTAAAAATGTTGTACTACATGTACATAATGATCTACATACATATGATGTGGTGAAACATGATTGAGTCGAAATTTCTCCAATAAAATAAAAAAACTTCCCCTCTTTTTAAAGCATCATCTGTACGTAAACCATTATACACACACACAAGTAACATGTTGCGTTTTTTTATATCGCAAGTGTACGATAACGTAACAAATAGTATAATGGACCTTTGAGTCCGGATTTCGTTCCCACGAAAACTATACTTTAAAATTTAATCTAATTTTTCTAACTCATATTTGACAAAAGTAAGTAAATAATTATGATGGTCGTGATTATTTTTCGTAACTACTTTTAACTAATTTAAAATATAAAAAGATTGCAAACAACGGATAATTGAAAATTCAAATATATGATGAATATTAGGGAAGAACAATTTCATGTATTGATCACCTTTATTCTTAATTCAAGATTTATAACATAATGTAGTGTTTGATCGAATTCTTCTATTATATTCAGTTTACCAATATCAAGTTCTCATTGAGCCTATTTAACTAATTCAACTCCATATCTTTATGTGAATCAACTTTATTTAAACGAAATACTGGTTCTAAGAATTCATATTATAAACGCAATAATTAGTATATGTATCTCTATACGTTATACTAATTTATCGAATTTTATTATATGATCTAAATATCAAACTCACCTCTCGATTCGTAAGAGACTCACATAATCATAAAATTATTGATCAGATAATTTAATGCATTAAACTCAAAATAAAATCAATACATAAATGAATAAATGACACAAATCTTGAATAAAAAAAAAAATCACAAGACGATTATATTGTTTTCCCTATTATAAAAATTAGTTATTCATATTGAAAAAATAAAAAAAGGCGCAAAAGTGGAAAGAAATCACCAAAAATTGACGAAACGTGAAAATTTCTGATATTTGCAATTTTCTTCATTTTTCCTTCATTTTTCTTCCTCTCTACGCCCATTTAATATATTATTTCTTTCCAAGGAATTTATCTTTGGATTTTCCCATTTTTCTCAACTTTTGCATTATTTTTTCCAATTTTTCATCAAATATAAATTTTTACCTACAAAACACAATATAACATAAATTATATAGAATTTAATCTAAAAAAATAATAAAATATCATAATTTAGGCCCATGAATAAGCATATAAACTACACTTATTACACCCCCCANTTCATCTTTGAATTTTGTCATTTTTCACCACTTTTGCATTCTTTTCTTCAATTCTTCATTAAACATAAAGTTTTATCTACAAAACATAATATAATATAAATTAGGTAGAATTTAATCCCAAAAAAAAATAAAATATCATGATTTATGGGCAACGAATACTACACTTATCAGAACATTATTCAACTTAAAAATAAAAAGGTCAAAAGTGATACAATGTGTCCTCGAAATAGTACTGGTCTTGCTCGGTCACCTTGGTCTGACAGATTTATCTGTGTTGTGTCAAGTCCAAGGCTCTTAATTTTAATTCTTTTAAAAATATGATTTATGATATTCTTGAATGTAATTTGTTACTGGAGATGAACAAGCAACGACCATCAATAAATGAAAGATTGAGAATAACGACTTCATAAAATAAAGATGGAGTACTATAGTCCAAAAATGTGTCTCCAAATCAGTCCTTCCAACCTTGCGATTCTCGCAAAATCTAGGAGAGTCGTCAATGCCCACCGATTGTTTGAGCATATGGTAAAACTCCAAGAAACGCATAAAATTCCTTATCCTACTGGTGTAAGTCATGATTTTGAGATGCCCACTTGGGCCTACTTATCTTTCATGAGCTCATGAATTCTAGGTCCAACAAAAAATATCCATAATCAATGAACACTCGAAGTTATTATAGATACTTATAGCTGATCGATTTGTAAAACATTGACTCATTCGATCTTTGTTAAAAGTATCCAACAAGTTAGAGCAATACATGCAAGCCGTATAGTGTAGGAGTGATCACATTTTCACCGCTGAAAACGATGATAATATAGGTTCATGAACCTACCAAAAATGGGCCAACGTTTGCTTTACCACCCACCAAAAAGGGAAAGATAGAAAGACACAAAGGGTTTGCTTTAGAAGACATAATTGTCACCTAACCATGGGGCTCATTGACACTACTGCAATGGGAAAAAATGGACAGCTATTAAACACCAAATTAAAATCATATAACATGTCACTATAGATTGGTGGAACGTTCCTATCAAACACTTATCCTTACCTTATATCGAGTGCTTGTTCTGAATAACTTAAATGTTGCTCGAAGTTGAGGTCAAAGTCAATAAAAATGTTTATGCACACATTTCATGGAACGATAACTTTTCTCAATTTTTCAATTACACATTTCATCAATTTTTATCAAATTTGTTCAAACTTTTATCATAAGTTTTGCCAAACAACCCCTTATTTAAGTTGCACCATATGTACATCATATCTATCTCTATATAGTATATACACATATTCACACACTAGAACTTGTGTTTTGAGAACTTCCCTACTCAAAACATACGCACACACTACAATATATATATACACACAAGTATGCTTCTTTCTCTTCCCATTCCTCTTTAATTTTCTTTAGTGAATTAGTTCCTTCTTGAAAGTTGAACCCCACCCCACCTGCACCCTACTATATATCTCCCCAGTGTAAAATGAATGAGTGCTATTTCCATCCTAAAGAGTTGGTTGTGGGGGTTTGTGCATTGTGCTTGAATCAAAGACTTCTAGTTTTAGCTTCAAAGCAAGACCAAGCAACTCATACAAAGAAACGCTCCATATCCCTGCCAAAGATTTTTGCACTCAGTGGTGTACTAAATGGCCAAGAAATCAGACACCTCAAATCCCAGGATTGTATCAGTTCCTCCAGCAGTCAAGAAGGTCAGAAAAGTGTGTTCGGTTTGTCTTTGGCAGTTAATTTGTTCAAATCCTTGGGTTTATGTTTATGTTCTTGCTCACTACCATGAAGAAAAGAATACCTAAATGTAGAAACAATAAAGAGAGAGAAGTTTAGAGTCTTGCATACTGTTGACTTGCATCAGCATATAAACAGTAGTTGTGTGGATTTTAGTGAAAGTATTGAATGGAAAGATTCATGTAATAAGGTTTTATGCTACGTTTAAGCCAAGTCCAAGCTTTTTTTAACAGGATCTGTACACAACAGCACCCTATTGACCTTTTTTTTTTTTGCTCCTTCCAATGCAAACCCGTCAAGTGTTTCTGTCCACAAATCCTGTACTCATAGCATTTCCTTTATGCTGACGAACTCAACTTTCCTCTCCTTTATGGGGTTTGGGACCGGATATAGTTGATAGCTTAAATATGCGATGAAATTTGCATTTAGCAATGTGATTTATTCGCAAACATAAAGTCGTTGAAATGTACATAATATAAATCTATACAAGATTATGTGCAATTAACTTCCCTAAAGTTAATTACATTAGTACAAAGTAGAAATCTTCGAGGGGCCCCATAGGTTCTTGTTTCACATAGCCTAGTAAATTTTCTTAGCAATAGTTTGGGAATCAAATGACATAATGCATTAAGATCTGCCTTTTGCAGAATCATTTGATTTATTTTTATGTGGGACTAAGAATTCAATTTTATAAGATATAGTTGTATTCTTGTTATATGTAATAGTCAAATTGTATTCCTTTTTCTTTCATTTGATCTGAATATATAGTGAAGTAATATATACGACCTGCAATTTTGGTAAGGAGGATTAAATCGTACTAAACAATATTTAAAAAAAGAAATTTGTTCAATACAAGTCATATCTAGTATTTCGTATATTTTACTAATTAGCCTATGTTTGATAGTTATTATAAAGAGAAATGAAGGAAAAATGATGTTTTGAATAGTGATTTTTTAAAAAATGTGCGGTTAAAAAGCGGAGAAAAACTTTGAATTTACATACGGAATATTTTACTATATGAATGCGTTGTTGAAAATGAGTATGAAAAATAAAGAATTTTAATTTAAAGAGAGTCAAACATGGGCTAAAATTTTTCTCCCATTGCAGACTCCTTTATATCAATCAAGTTTGAAGACAATGGTGTTGCCTCTTGGGACAAGAGCACAACCAAGAAAACAAAGAGTGTAGTAGAGCAAGCGAAACCGCGTATCACGCTAATGTGGCGGAAGCGGATTGGCTACCTCTTCCAGCTCAGCAGATGGAGGAGGTCTAGTAAACACAATGTGGGCACAAAGCTAGAAGGGGCAAAGGCTAGATATGGATGGATAAGGACCCTTGCAAAGAGGAGGACCAATGAATGAAGGGTTTGGACAGAAAGAAACAAGTTTTTCACCACTACTCTCATATATGTGTGTAGGATATGAAGGCTTTGTGTGAATGGAAATTGATCGTATAATATATGATTGAGATGGTATGACTACATTTTCTTCTTTTATCATCAATTCCCCTACCAAATGTATAAAATGATTTTGGTGTTAACTTATGGAGTGAAGGTAGAGGATGAGAGAGTTCAAGAAAGAAAAACATGTATTCAAAAATTTCCCAGAAAAGATTTGTCATGAATGTTGTCGTATTCATACCGCTTGCAATAATTAATTCTCCACAAACAATTAGGTTACATCATAAGAAACGAGCCCTCATAGTATGGGAGTAGAACATTAGTGTCATCCCCAAAAAAGATTTACGCGACTCACATCATGATTAGTACACAGTACTGAACAAGATTGCTCAGTACAATATACAATATTTTACGTTATAAGAGACATAAGGGCCATACATATATTCTGATTGGTCTTGTCCTCTTATTGTCTTCAAGAGAAAGTAAATGTTTGCTTCTGTCCAAAAGAATTCAGTCGAAATGTGATGGGTAAATTTTTTCTTTTCCTAAAAAAACATGGAGTGTGTTTCTCATTTTTCTAGTGTCAATCTTTAATCATAAAACTTGCCCTTTATCCCCAGAGGCTCACAAAATGGCTTGCATGAGCAAGGGACTAAAAGGTGTTGTGTAGTTATGTCAATGCATAGTAACCAAGAAAATATTTTGGGCAATGTCCCATCTCTTGGCTCTAGCTAACCAAGGAAAAATTACTACAAATACCATCCTGCATTAATATGAAAAAAAACTTTAATTTGGTGGGGAAAAAAAAAAAGAATTTCATAATACTTCTAGCTACAAAAGACAACAACAAAATGTTTTTTGTTCTAATACTGGACGTGACGTTGGATCTATATATTCTTTAACATTATAATTATCAACCTAGTAAACTTATTAATGAAATGAATGCTAAAAATCAATCTACTTAAAGAGGGGTTTACGAGAGAGAGGGCCCTATTTCGGATCTCCGTAAATTTCGTAAACATAACCCCACCTCCACCCCTTCAAGAAAAAAAAGGTGCAATCTATTTAGTGCAGAATAGTTGCAGAGGAAGATAAAGGGCATCAACTTTATTTTCTTTATATTCATTATTGTAGTTAAAGGGATCCTTTTGAGAGGTGAAGTCAAATAAGTTGTATAAGCCACATTGTTTTGCCACGCTGCATGGAAAGAGCCCATACTTTGTAAAGCATTAAAAAAATAATACCCTACCAAGACTTCAGACCAGTATGGTAGGCCTAAGAGTAAAATTAAGAATGTTCATCCCTTTTCTTTATGCTATAGAACAGTCCACATGATTTGATCCTTCAACATTTATATCTTTTTGAATAGGGAATTGCAGTGTTGCCTGTGGTTGGTGAAGATTCTCCAAGATCTTTCCTTTTAACTGTTCTTGAAATTTTATGTGATGGCAATAATAATAAAAATCGTTGCCATCCTCAAAAAGAAAAGAGAGATTACATTCCAAGTGCTCGTCATAATGAGGATGAGGACTTGAATCACTCCATCTTCCATCACCTCCTCCCATATCCTGGTGAACTCGGGAGTGTTGGGAAAGTTAGCCTTGTACTCTGCAAGGGCTTCGGCCACAAGAACCTCTGCCTTCTCCCTCACAGTCTTCTCACTTTCCAACAACTTGACCGATCATATTGCAACCATAACAAAAGTTCACATGACAAGTAAACATTGAGGAAATTACTCATTTCATTAGAAAAATAAATTGGTTGGCTATTATTTTTATAACTATTAGTACCCCTGATATTAATATAGGGTTAAAGTTCTTCAAAATCCAGTTGCAATTTGGACATTTCCACAGATAGAGATCACAAAAACACAAATTTTTCATTGCTAATTCTAGTGGAAAAAGGTTTGGAACCCTTCCACTAATTATTCTATGCATTTCATTCTCTATTTGGCCTGCTTTCAAACAAAATGAGAAAAAAGGGTCGGTCAATAGCACAACTCTTTCTTTCCCTGGTCTCCTTTCGAAGGAGAGGCCTTCGCATTCCTAATCCAGTAGGGCCGGATGGCTTTGTTTGCCCCCAGCTTGGCAAATTGCATCCCTGCACAACAACATTGTTTGTGTGCCCCTTACCTCCTTGCTTATTGAGCAAAATCAGCATAATCAACTCAACAATGATTTTGCAATCCCACATAATTATGGTAAATCTGAATATCAAAGGAGAGATATGGTGTCAAAGAAGGAAGAGGAGATAAATATTCAAGATCACACACCCAAAATTAATGGAGATTTGTTAGGTAATTCACTGCACAAAATAAAGGCAAATCTGCAGCTACAAATGACAGAACAAGTGAGAATGCACCAAGCCATACTTTGGGACTCATTCATTGGTCATGCAATGAAAGATCAATCACGTAGATCCACAATTCCCTGCACAGATCAATTTCTTCATCCCAGAATCTGCATGCTCCTTATTTACTTCAAAGACTACTTTAGATAGTGTTTTAATATGCCTATAAAAATGTAATGAGGTTCTTGTAATACTCATGGAAAAATCAATTCAACACAAGTTTCTTACATTTTTCCTGTCTTTCACTTTGCTTAGTGTTTCATCTGTACGAAACAACTGCATCCTTAACAAACTTATGAATTGAACACTCTTTTATAAGCTTTGCAAACCTTCTAAAAGAGAAAATTTCTGGCTTGTGTTTTCTCTCAACATATCGAGTACAATTTGTTTAACCACCTAGTAATAGTAAAAAGCATATGCGTATGTGAAACAGGATTGTATATGACAATTTTTGTCACCACTTGGTTACTATGGTTCCAATGTTCACTACTTGCATAGATTTCATTACGGGGATTTGCTCAAGAGAAATGACATTGATACAAAGAAAATATCTTCTAGTTTAACCCGACGTTAATTAGAATTTCCTTAATCACCATTTACTTGTAAATAGTCTTTACATATTTTTTGATCAAGTCACAACCTTGTTGAACGTGAAATTTAAAGGATATCCTCAAACAATATTACGTTTCGTCACTTCATTAATGCTTTTACTTTCATCTCCTTGTAGCATAGGTTGAGAGTTGAGGCATCGGTATTCATATAACGTAACAGCCTCAACTTTTATCTTATGAACTTGATCAGTTCGTGTTTCTTGTAAACCAACATGCGTGTCGCTATAATGAGTATTAACTATATATAAGCATATTTGTTATGCAATACTAAAATGGACTCTATGACATTTTTCTTTTCGAAATGGCTATTTCAAAACATAATCCTTTTTTTCCATTACTTGCACAATCCCTATTCAAATTCCATCAAAACATTCTTAAATATAAAAAATAATCCATCCAAACATTCTTAAATGTCTTGAAATAATTATTTTCAAATTCATAGTCCAATATTCTTAAATTGCACCGTGTAAATTCTTCATCATCGGTTCTAAACCGTTCCTAATAAATTATAGGCCGACTAGACCAATCATTTTTTTCCATTACTTGCTCGATCCCTCTTCAAAATCCATCAAAGTATTCTTAAATGCCAACCGCTGGACTTTTTTGTATGGGTGATGATGATTTAATGGATATGTGAACTATTTCCATGGGTGAAGATTGAATATGAAATTATAATAAAATAAGAGGACAATTTTTTCCTTTTTTAAAGTTCAAGATCAACTTATTACTCGAGCAATACATTGTGGACCAATAGTGGAATTTTCTCTAGGCGTAGGAAAGGACTAGAAAATGCTCAACGGGACTCCAAAAAGACACCCAAAAACCCCGCGAACACTCCGGACCAGCACACTCGTCTTTTTATTTCTACTATAATTCATCAAATCAAGAAAAAATAAACACCCAAATCAAATTCCTGTGAAATCCAAAAAAGAAAAGTGCAAAAGAACAAAAAATTGATTCAAAAATGTTTTTCTTTTTTGTGGGAGGATTGGAGCAGCAAGCAAGGCAGGTTCTGAAGAGAGAGGCGGGTCGGTGCATCGCCTGCGGGTTACCGGCCGATCTGGTTGAATACGATAAGGTTCTCAAGCTATTCTTCGTGCCCGTTTGGCGGTGGCCCGGGAAGCAGCCACTTTTGCATTGCTCTAATTGTAAACTCTTCTTCCCGGAGTCGTTCTCTCCGCCTCCGCCGTCTACGAAGATTCCGGAGGAGGTGAAAAGAGATGCCTTGCGGTGCCAGTTCTGTGCACGGGAGGTGGATCCTGGGTTTAGGTTCTGCCCCTTCTGCGGGTCCGCCCTGTAAATTGCTGTTTGAGGGTTTTGGGTTTTAAGGATTAGTGTTTGTATGTGGGGGGCTTGTCTTCGAGATTAATAAATAAAATTTGTTATTGCTATATGTATTATTTTGGTTTAATGGTTGATTAAGATACTTTGCAAAATGTTTATTTGTAATTAATTATGAAATTTTACCCTAATTGTATCTCACGTCGAATGTCTAGGCTTACTTCGTCGGTTTGTAACTAATTGAACTCTTTTTCATAAAAGTCGATTTCAAGACTGAGTTCTATTAAATGTGATTGTTATAATTGAGATAAGAGTAGGCACTACCATGAAAATCCTTGTTGTAGGCGAGATGACGTAGTGTTACTTTCAAAAGAAAACTAGTTTCAAGAAGTCACCTATCTGAAAATATGAGCAGCCATGGAAGTTGATCATTAAATGAGTGAAATGTAATAACATAAAATGTATCCCAAATCATTAGTCAAGATTTAGTTTGTGGGTTTATAATTAAGGGTCCGTTTGATTGTAATGGTGCAAAATGGGTGGAAAAAAAAATGAATTTCAGGGAAAGTAATTGTCTAGAAATTGTTTTACAGGAAATTGTTATAAGTATATTTGATTGGTATAATTTTCCACTAGGAAAATTTTTAAATTTTGTGTTCGTTTTGCCTTCTTTTGCATCAAAATTGTTCATTAAAGTGATAATTTTTTTCACGCTTGATTATAAAATTTGTTTCCATTATCAAAAAGTAAAAAAGGAAAAAGGAAAAAAATGGTTTCCTAAAAAATTATTTTTTTAATCAAAATTTAGTGTTCCTTTGGCCTTCTTTTGCATCAAAATTGTTCATGAAAGTGTTTTTTTTTTTACACTTGGTTATGAAATTAGTTTTTATTGCCCAAAAAAATAAAAAAAAGACGTGGAATTCCATTTTTCCCACCAAAAAGGTGGGAAAATGAATTTCCTAAAAACATGGAATTGTGGGGCATGGGGTGGGAATTGGTTTTGCCTAAAAAAATTACTACCTCTCAAACTTGTCAAAAGCAAGGAAATGGAATTTATTTCCAACTTCCAAGGAAAAAGATGGCCAATCAAACGGGGCCTAATTGGACTCCTTTTTTTACAAGTCAACTTTAAGGGTAGACTCTACGCATTGTGATTGTTACAATTAATATAGAGTAAGCACCATTATGGGGATGATCCTCGTTGTGGACGGAACAACCTAGGGAGAGCTACTTTGAATAGAGAAGTGGTTTCAAGAAGTCACATAATTGGAAATATAAGCAGTCGTGGACGTTGATTCTGAAATGAAGTGTGTAATGTAATAAAGTAACGATACGTTCTTATCTCTCCAGGCCATATACAATGTTGATCAAACAATTTGCAAAGCTAATCAAATATCAATAACTTTCAGACATAATATAACTATACAAGTAACAAAAGTGACTACGACAACAGATGAAAGACCAGCATTTTGTTGATCATGGGGCTTCCCAAAGGTAAGAGGACTAAATATCCAACAGGGAGCTGGCTTGTGGGATAGAGGTTTGTTTCCTATCTGTACAAATTTTTTTTCGAAAAAAGAATGAAAGCGCACAGTTTCTCTAAAGTCACAAGGGGGTGTATGCTGAGACCATCCATTTACCTCAGCTCAATATCCAGAAACTCCGGTTGGTAATATCTTGGACGAGCAAGCACAGAACTGCAGTGCCTCGAACAGGGTCGATGCTGATGGTCCACGATGGAGCAGTTGGACTTGGACAAAAAGATTCTACTCGGATTTGCTGAAGGGTAATTACTTTGATCCTCGCTCGATTGTATCCCTCCATAGTCTGTATCTTACTCCAAGTTTATCATAGGATACAGGACAGTTCCATACATTTGCTCCGTTGATCATGCGTTCTTGTTGCCCGAGTACAAGCCGTAGATCCTCATTCAAAACCTGTACGCAATAATTTTAAGATTTTTGTAAGAAATTAAAGAGTAGAGAAAACAGAACTCTTGATTTCCGAAGATTCACCTGCTCTGCAAAATGTCTCCACAGGTATTGCATGAAAGGAACATGCTTTAATATTGGAGCAAAGTCGAGTGACATTCTGTACAGTAACCTCGTCTTGTTTCTTGATGAAGGTAAGCAAACATGAAGCTGATGAAGATGTGTCGAACATTCTCTAGTACTCTGCCCTTCTAATTTCCCGGGTTTCGAAATTCCAATGGTCGACAATACCATACAAGGTGGCCGGAATTCCATATCTATAGGATAGGGATCCCAGTATCCTTGCAGCCCAGATTCAGGTGTCAAAAATTTTACCAAGCTGAGAATAAAAATAAACGAAGACAGCTTGTAAGTTTCTTTGTGATGTAATAAGTTGCAGTAATTTGGTTAGATGTTTCTTTTTGCTACATTTGGCAACAACTTCTGTGGTCATTGATTAATACAATATGGAGAACTGTATCATAATTTGCATATTTATTGAAAAATGATGGGCAAGTAAACAAACCTGGGTACACTCCACCCTTTAGCAAAGGTCGAAGTGTGAGTAAAAGGGGCGTGCGCAAGATCCAGAAGGTTGTCCAAAAGTAGTCCGTGTTCAACAGGAAGTTCCATCACGATCTGCATTTTTTGTTAGGGGTTAAGCCTAAACCCAATCTTAAGAGCATTAATGAAAGAAATGAAAAACAGAAATGCAAACATGCAAAGACACAGATTTATAGTGGTTTACTAAAATCCATAACCTTGGTGCTGCAAATTTTTGTCACGTATTATGAAGGAAATTACAAGGTTTTCCTTGCACACCTCTCTCTTATCACACACAAGTGACAGACAAATGATCCCCTAGGTAGAAAACTAGGGAGTCCTAATACAAAAGTATGAATGCCCAATATAATAGTAGGTCGAGGAGATAGGTGTAAAGTGCAAGTAGGCTCCACAAAATCCAAAATTTCGAAAAGATTCCAGGAAAAAAAGTGATTTATCTAAGATCACTAAAATGTCCTCGAAAAATGTTCATACTAGAATATTGATTGCAGGTGTAACATACCTCAGCATGTATTTGAAAACCTGAGGGTGGCAATAGAGAAGGAAGGTTGGCAGTTGGAGGATCACTGCCAGGCCATATCCATATCATTCCATCTTGTTCAAAGCACGGTAAGGCTTTTATCTTAACATTAAGAAATTTTGTAGATGGCATTTTCTTACATTTTCCATCAGTTGAGTATTCCCATCCTGACATTGATCATAACGTGAAAAAAATCAGTGCTGTCAAATACACGCTTTTTAACTGATAATACATGGTTCAGACCATTTAAGTGTTCATATCGTCTATATAGGATGTAAAACTTATACATGCTCTTGATCTCACCATGATAAGGACACTGGATCCGACCCTCGTTTACTGAACCCAGGTGAAGTGGGCAGGCCCTGTGAGCGCAAGTATTCTGAACACACCCGGGTTTCCCATCCTTCCCACGAAAGATAACCCACGGCTCCTCAAAGCAATCTATTGGAATCTGAAAGAAAATTATGAAGCAATAATCAACTAGGGAGAAGCACAAAACCCTTTCTTGTAGAACGACTGCCGCTGTGTTTTATACAGTATATAAATCTCTAGTAGGTGCTTAGAAACGAGTTGAAAAGGTAAGAACGAGTTTCCTGGTAATAGATTTACCATGGCGTCATCCTTCAAGTCTTCTGAGAAAGCAACAGGGAACCAAAAATTCTTCAAATGGGCATCATAAGACTGGACAGGACCGGACACATTGAGGCTCCTTCTAGGCTGCCTGTTCTTGGCAGTATCAAGAGACTCTGTCAAGGTACTTGGGATAGGGGACAATAAGTTAGATTCTGTTGTGTTTCTGTCTTGCAATAGCTTATCATTAACCAACGTTTCCATGTATGCTAGCTTGTCCAAGGCAGTCGACACCCTTGCTTCTGATATATGTACCTGCATGCATCTGAGAGTGAGATACTGAGATCTAGTTCACTAGCTATGGGGGAAAAAAAAAAAAAGAAAAGAAAAAAATGTTTTTCTTAATAAGTGGAGTGTAAAATTTCCATATAAAAGCAATCCTTAAGAAATTTCAAGTTATGTATTAAAGCCTACTCACTAATTGCAAGAGCAATAATAATTAGAATAGCAATCAGAAAAAGAGCAAAGCATACACATATTTTTGTAATTCACCCTCAATGTGTGAGCTACATCAACTTGCTACCAAACAATGGAGAAGGAGAATAAAAGCTTTTCCGCACACCTCTCTCTTCACATGACAAATGGTCCTCTAATAAATCCTTTGTCTACTAGGAAAAGTAGGGTGACCTGATACTTTTATGTATATGAATTTACGGTCGAGGCGATATGGGTACGATATGATTAGGCTCTCGAGCGTTCAACATTTCAACCTATGTACTCTATTCTATATGACAGGTATGAATTTAAAAAAAAAAAAAAAACACACACACACACACACACATATATATGCTGGCATACCTGTTTGTGAGCTTGTGCTAGATCCTCTTGCAACTCAGCAAGGTCCTTCATGAGAGTTCCAACTGATTTATATTCACGGGCAAGAGGGTTTAATACTTCCACAACCTATAAGTTACTATCAAAGTCAGAACATTCAATTTAAAGCAATAAGATTCGAAGGATGATAAGAGCTTCCACATAAGGAAAAGAAACAAAAATCAGAAAATAGCCCTGCTACATGTCCCACATGATTCGACACCACCCCTTGAAAAAGAAAACAAAAAAGTTCTTCGAGATGCAAGTGATTGGCATGTGTCTCATCAACAAAGATAATATGATTCTTAACGTGATCTTTAAGTTGAAAAAAAAAAAAAAGAACGTAACTGAACCAAAAAAATCCGATTTTGATCATAAATTATGACAGAATAAAGGATAATTTTGTGATTGACCTTTTCGTGCAATAGCATAATTGAAAGAACGTCTTGTCGTGCCTTCCAATCGCAGTATTGTATATCCAATCTAGCCACTTCTAAAGCTTGATTGACGTCCAAAAACTTGCCTTTACATTGGGGGACCTTAGTTCTTGGATCTTCTACATCGAAAAGTGTTGCCCACGGGTTTTTCCGGTCCTCCAACCCACCTTCATCCCCTATAATAGCAAAGACTCTAAAGCGTCCCTTAACAACCTGAGATGCACCAAATGTACCATGATTTCGCAAGAAGTAAACACTGCATAGAGATTAGTCCAATGTAACCAAACACTTCGTGAACAAGGAAAAATAGCGTGCAAGAGGTATCTCCAAGATTAAAAAACATACTATGTTAGGTCAATAAATGAATCAAGATCAAAACTTTGCTTCTATAGAAGAATCAATCAAGCATAGCCAATCATCTTTCAAAGTTGCTTACATCAAAGTGTCGGCTGAAAAAGGTTTTTTACTTTATTGAGTACAAAAGTTTAAGCTATAATGTAAAGAAACCAATCCCATACATGATTTTTAAGGACAACTAATTTCACTATATAGAGCAGCAAAACAAGAAAACCTTTTTACAGGCAAACCTGATTTTCCATTCCTACATCTATAGACTGTACACAAATGTATGTTCAACCACTCCATAAAAAAGCTTAAATTGATAGAATGAAATAAATAAATAATTTGTCGGTTGGATTCATTTCTTTTTACCAAAAGATTGACATTCGAAATTTTCATAAATGTGTACCGAAGTCGTCATATTTCACATTAAAGATATTTCACAGTAAAGAGCAAAACTGTATTGTTATTTCTTACCCTAATAGCATGCTTATTGGAGCTGATCACCATGATCAAAGCTACCACAATTTCAACTAGTCAAAAATCCCGCAAAATATCAAATCAACTAAACTAGAAAAAGAATACCCTTTCAAGTAATACTGAACTTGAAATCAAATCACCAATATAAAAAAGTGGAAGAGAAATTTAGCCAAATTTACAATAAATAAGGTACACAACTCGCTCAAGAACAGGCAAAAAAAATACCCTTTTGGTGTAAAATTTGGATGAACGACATGAAGAAATTGGAAGTGAAAGAGCAGCAGCAATGGTGGACATGGCGGAACTCGGGCAGTTTGAAAGTTTGACAGATACTTTGGGTATAGAGAAAAAGAAAGATGGAGATAGTTTTTGTGAGAGAGATTTAATTGTTGATAAGAGTCAAGTATTTCGCGCGATCTTGAGTAGCCTCCCATGAATTGCCATGTAAGAATTTGTGGGATTTTGTGTGTTTCACTCGTGGCATCTTAGGTTTCCACAAGCTCTTGTCTGAATTTGAATATCTGTGTCGTGGGGTGCTCTCCTCTCTTCTGTAATGCCAGCTCGGATGGCGAAGATCTCTCTCCATATGTTTCTTGATCTCTTGTATTGTCTTTGGTAAGTGTGGCAAAGAGTCGAGTCAAATCTTGATTTGGCTTATTATATCAGCCGCTAGGGCCATTGGTCATTGAGTAGCCCGATCTGGCTTATTCAGCAACAGACCTCAGTCCAGTAGCCTAGTCAGTGTAGAACCAAGTCAAGTATGTTCTCATTCATAATAATAGAATTTACAATAATTTATATAAAAGAAAATTAATAGAAACTTAGAATGTACCCGGGTTAGGCTTGGCTCACCAAGCTTAAAATTGACTCAATTGAGCTCAACTTGGACACGAGATCTTTAAATGTGAGTCCAACCCGTCCACTAACTCTCACAAGATGACAAGCGACTCAAAGCTATTGTCCTCCCCCTCGTTACTTATGTGAACATGTTTTATTTAGTTTTAAAAAGTAAAAGAAAAGTTCTATTGTTGTTTTTTATTTCTTGATAATTGACAGCACAATTATAACTTACTTTTTTTTTTTTTTTAATGCTGTTGCCGCTGTTGACAAAATATGTCTAAAAATTTAAGTTGATGGAAAATTGATTTATTTGCCCTCTAATTCAACGCAGACGATAAATTGTCATTTAGGGAAAATCAATAGCCATTCATGATGGATATGATCACTATGGACGATGATGGCCAAAAAATATAAGGTTAAGAACAATACTGTGAAGAAATAAAAGTTGGGAGATAGTGAGTGCTATTTTTCCAAAAATGTAAAAGTTACTTATAAGCAGTTTTTTTATTTCAGAACTTGATCAAAAAATTTCAAACACTCAGCAAACTGCTCTCAACTGCCGGGTTATGTGCTTCCGTCTTTGTGCTTATTTCTGCCACTAAAATGTGGACTAAAGTAACCTGGACAGCAAATTCACCACTTATTTGCTGCCAAAGTCATGCCTGCACGGCTGCACCAACACCAAAAACTGATACTTGCTGCCTTGCGTCCCCCGATGTCGACTAATTTCGCCCTTGCAATGCTGCATCACGTATGCATACACCACTTGCACATTCGTCTATGCCAACATGTTGCGTTTCATCCATCCTACTGAATATGCGCTTTATCCCATGCATCACACACACATCCGGTCATGACATCGGGCGAAGCAACCCACATCATGTCCATTTTTCTCACTAGAGATCTAACAATTGGCGAGTAAACTTCAAAAAGAGTTTAGTTTGGATGGAAATGGACCGTTATTGAAATTATTTGATATTGGGTTTTGATTCCTTTTACCCAATTACAAATCAGACCAAATTATTAGGTAGACCATGGAGACACAATTACTAGTCCAATGTAAGTTGTTATGTTACGTATCCAAGTGGTTGGCAAGGGAAACATTGGTCCCCTGACCAAGCTGGAGTGGTTCTAGTGCGCGTGTATTATCTTTAGGAATTTTGTACGGCTTGGTCTAAAAATTTCGTTGTACTACTCGATAACTTAGTAAGGTCAACATCGAGCTACAACCTTCTTAAGTTCATGGATGATTTCTAAATCCAACAAAAATGGCTGAGAGTGACAAAGAGGTACGTATGTGAGTCATGTGCCAAGGGCTTGCACTTATTGTGATATAATATAGAAAATTCTTGATTTTTCTCAATATTTAATGAGAAAACTTGAAATATTTCTTTTGCTAGGGATGGTCTCTCTTGAAACATGTAATAGGTTCAACACTTACTAGGAAGGAATGCTACTTTAAATTAGGTCGGATTAAGGTTGTCTAACAAAATATATGCAAAAGACTCGAGAACTTTGGTTGTACTGAATGTCAACATGACCTAAAATATATCTCGATTTTGAAATATAGGGCTTGTTTGGGTCAGATTAAAATCTGATTTTAATCTAAGTTAAAGTCAAATAATCAATATTAACCACATCTTTCATGGGTCCCACATCTTTTCAACCACATATTTCAAAATTTTCTATTACAACCCACTAAAAATCTAATTTTGATCCCCACCAAACACACTCATAATATTTCTCNACTAAAAATCTAATTTTGATCCCCACCAAACACACTCATAATATTTCTCGAATTTATCATATTTGAACTGGTCCGATAAGAAGGAAATGTGCAAAAACAAATATGCTATAACAAAATTCTCAAAACGTTCATTTTTAGAATATATCTTGTACTAGGATTAGCTCTATCTCGAGAGTTTTGCAAAATAATTGACCCCCACGCAGAACATTTTTCCATCCTAACAAAACTCTACTCGATTCTTACGTACTGAAGTATAAAAATTAAATTAAAATCTATAAAAATAATTACTTTGTTAAGCTTGAACACCATAGGATATCCACTTCAAAAGCACCAAATAACGTGGACACTCTTTCGACCATCACAATTCTTACACCCCTATCCTCAACATATCATATGTGTGTGGGATAGAGAAACTTTCACAAAAAATATTGGACTAATTCTATACACTGCTACACAGTACTATGATATATTCTCCATTGGTATAACATTATCACTCTCTTTCTCTTTCTCTTTCTCTTTCTCTCTCGCACACAACACATACTCAATCAGCCATGGCTCAAACCATGCTACTCTCTGCTGGCAGTACTGTTTCTGGGCATGCATTGGATCTGAAGAAGGACCCATTGATGATTCAGAGACTAAAACCAAAGCCCTTCTCTCAATTCATTTTACCACCCAAAACTTCATCTCCTTTATCTTCATCAACTACAACTGTTGCACTCTTCAAGTCGAAGACGAAAGCACCAGCCAAGAAGGTATTTTTTACTTGCACAAGGGACTTTGTGGTTCTTTTTCCTTTCCCTTTTCCTTTTCCTTTCCTCCTATGATTGATGCATTGATTTGTTTGATAGGTTCCAGTGGTGAAGGAAAAGCCAAAGGTGGAAGATGGCGTTTTTGGAACATCGGGAGGATTTGGTTTTACCAAGGAAAATGAACTCTTTGTAGGTCGTGTTGCTATGATTGGATTCGCGGTGAGTTTGAGATTCTTTTTGTTTTTTTCATGTACTATGTTTACCCCCAAAGACTTACAGACTAGGTTGTCAACAGATCCCTCGCCACTTCCCCATTCCCTTGTGGCGAGTAGTAACATATATACTAGGAGCTTGTTTGGGAGAGATTTTTGGGGGAAGAATTGATTTTGAATAGTGATATGATGGAAAATGTGTAGTTGAAAAGGAAGAAAAAATTATTGATGTGATGGAAAATATTATTTTATTAAAAAATGTGTGGTTGAAAATAAATATTGATTTACTGTAAAAAAATTTAATTGCTCCCAAACAGGGCCTAGGTTTTATTTGCTTGTAAGTTAAATATTTTAAGCTTTGCCAAACATTTACTTGAAAACCAATGTAACCTAGTCTAATAACCAAATCCAACTTTGGGCATGTTTGGAAAAGCTTAATTTTTTAATTTTTTAATTTTTTTTTAAGTGGACAACCGTAGCTTTTATCCACACACATTTTATTAGATCAACAACTCATGTATTATCTACAAATTTCACAGAATCTACAACTTATAAGAACTTGAAAAAAAAAAAAATTTGCCAAGATTTTTTGAATGTGTTCTAGTACAATATTTTCGTACAATAAGTAACAATTGAGCCTTTTTTAGTTAATTAATAAAGAGAATTTTTGCATTTTATGTAAATTATTAGGAGTTAAATTTCCTAGGATTGATTGACATTGGATGAAACTAGTGCAGGCATCTTTGTTGGGAGAAGCAATAACAGGAAAGGGTATTTTGTCACAACTGAATTTGGAAACTGGAATCCCTATTTATGAAGCTGAACCTCTTCTTCTCTTCTTCATCCTCTTCAATCTCCTCGGAGCCATAGGCGCTTTGGGTGATCGTGGTCGTTTCGTTGATGAACCTTCGACTGGGCTCGACAAGGCGGTTATAGCCCCCGGCAAAGGACTTCGGGGTGCATTAGGTCTTGGAGATGGTAAATATTCCGTTCCCATTATTCTAGTTGTTTGTTGAACTCATGATAACTTTTTTCGCGGGTGGACTTTATATTACCTGACAGTATTAAGAAGGGAAAAGTTATTAAAATCTCGTTCTTGTGGTATAATTTTATCTAATACATACCATGTCATCTTTCGATTCTTTCCGTTCATCAAACCAATGAGTGTGGATATAATGACCAAACCGTAACACCAACCACCCGTGTTTTTAACATACGACTCTACTAGACAATCTTGTCAAATTCTATCCAGATTAACCCACCAAATATATATTTCGATCCCTAACAAGTTTTTGCATGCATGCAGGCCCATTGTTTGGATTCACAAAATCAAATGAACTATTTGTTGGAAGATTGGCACAACTGGGAATTGTTTTCTCCATAATTGGAGAAATAGTTACAGGAAAAGGGGCTTTAGCACAGTTGAATATAGAAACAGGAGTGCCCATAAATGAAATTGAACCACTTCTGTTGTTCAACATTGTCTTCTTCTTCATTGCCGCCATTAATCCTGGTACCGGAAAATTTGTGACTGATGAAGAAGAAGCATAAATGTCGTGTACCTAGTTTATTTAATTAAGAAGAAAAAATAACACTTCCATGTATTTTGTAATTAGTGGTAACTTTGTCATTTAATTTGAAGATTTTTTCTTCGACTCAGGTATATGATTTTTGATCTTCGCTCCATATAGCAAGTTGGTTGTCAAGATTTCATTATATAGTTGCACAATCAGTCCAATCCTCAACGATGGAAATAGTTCAAATTTATCTACTTTAAATCATCACGTTCAATTCACATATCAAATCATATGAAGCTACTTGGAATCCAATCCTGAATAATCCATCAGACTAAACGAGCCATAAAAATGATTACCACTCACATTTCGTTTTAGCAAAATACATTCTAGGTGGGAAGTCACAGGACAAGACTATCAATGAAAGAAACGTGCATTTATTCAATTAATAGTGTATTTCTCAGTCGAAGAACATAAGTAAAGACGTACAACAGACAAAATCCTACACACAAAACTGAACTTCCATTCTCTCACATACATTTTACCTCTTCTCTCCGCATAAGCATCGAGCAGCTTGAAGAGCAAAATATGTGAGGATGATATCAGCACCAGCTCGTCTCAGACACACCAGCGACTCCATCATGACTCTCTCTTCATCAATCATTTTGAGTACCCCGCCAGCCTTAATCATCGAGTATTCTCCAGAAACCTAATTACGGCATTTTTTTCCAAGAAAGATGAGAAAAAAGGAACCAAGTAGAAAATTAAGTTATTTTCTCATCAGTTTTCACTAAACCCAAAGGGAATATTTAGTACGAATTACCAGACATAATTGGACAACACAATTACCAAACAAACAAAAGATCACTCATTTACACCTTTGCTCTATTTTATGCCTATTGAACGTAGAAAACCACTATAAGAATTGCCTTTTAAGTAGAAAAACTCGATGCATCTCAAAAGGTTGGAAGTAAAATTAAGAGAAGGGGTTTAGTTAATCTCTACTTCCATAAATTTTGATATTTCACATTATATGTCCCACTCTCTCGTCTACTCTACTAGTCTCGATTTCAATTTCCTTCATTGCTAGGTTCTACCATAGGATCAGCTTACAACCCAGAAATTATTTTATCATAAGCTTTCATCTCAGGAATGAAGATGATAGCTGAACTATATGATGTAGTCCTATCAAAAGTTAATTCAAAGAGGAGAGTGTTGGCATGTTTGACTAAGCATAAAAAGTTAGATTATTCTTGTTGTACATAATATCTTACCTAATGTGTGCCATAATTGACAAATGGCGGCCCCCCCCAGGGGGCTGCCATTTGTCAATTATGGCACATATTAGGTAAAGGGTTATGTACTTGTAGCATACATAACCCTAAAAAGTTTACCTACAAGTAATTAGAAGTACCTGATATGCAGCAATGGGCAAAGGAGAGTTATCTCGCAAAAGCCTTATTATATCCAAGTAAGGCAGACCAGGTTTAACCTAATCCACGTGAAAATCCATCAGAAAAATAACAGGGTCTTTGCTCATTGAATGCAGTCAAATTCGCAAGAAGCTATATATATATAAACCAAAGAGAGAAATGCTAACCAGAAGGATATCGGCTCCTTCAGACTCATCCTCATGGGTTTCAACCAGAGCTTCTCTATAATTAGCAGGATTCATCTGATACCTTTTTTAGTACATGCCACATTGTGGAAAAGTAAGATCTAGATGGTTGCTACTGATATTTCAACCAAAAATAAAATTAAAAAAACTGGTGAGTTACATACGTTTTCTTGTCACCAAAACGTGGATTTGAGTCTAATGCTTCACGGAAAGGACCATAGAATGAACTTGCGTACCTGAAATTTCAATTCAATAAACATATTAAAATAAAGAAAAACTGAAGGTGGAATTAAAAAAACCAGAAATAAGAGAGCTCGACATTAAATCATGTACGAATTATTTTAGAACTCCTCTCAATTAAACATGTAGGAATTTAAAAGATCATTATAATAGGAGGCACAATAAACATGCTATTAAAGCAAAGATAATACGAATAAGAACTGACTTTGCAGTGTAGGACATAATAGAAACATGCTGAAAGCCATCAGCATCAAGAGCTGCTCGAATTGCTCCTACACGGCCATCCATCATGTCACTGGGGCTGACAACATCGGCCCCTGCTCTGGCCTACATATAGAAGTGCACCAGGTAATAAGATTACAAACTTCGTTTGCCATGGTAGATTCGACAAAAGGTGCAAGTAATCCTCACATTCTATGTTAAAGCACTTAAAAGTCCGTGAAATTATGCAAGTCAGGAACGCGAGTTCGTGATAATGATGACATCAAAACTCAATCATAGAGGAAATTATGTTTCATTTGTGCCAATATACTAATTAAAGCAGATTTTGATAGAAGATTTCAGTTCACTTGTCTAAAAGATTTATATCACGCACAAAGCATGCTTAATACCATATGCGAGGTAAGGTCCAGAATTACCTGGGCGACTGCCTGTTTACACAACTGATGCACAGTTTCATCATTCATTATAACTCCTGCAGGATATTGCAGTAAGTTTAAACATTAATTGGCCATGCTAACTTGTATGAACTATACCTACTCTTCGGCATAATATAATTTCAGGAAACGAATATGAGACAAAAAGGAAGAACTGGATGTGGTAAATGTCTTACCATCTTCTCTGACGATGCCATCATGCCCATCAGAAGAATAGGGATCTAATGCAACATCAGTGTAGATAATCTACAGACACAGACAGACATCATAAATTATCAAAGACAACATCAAATTTCCATTTAAAGCCCTCCGATTTTGTAAGACTATAACCCTCCCGAGTGAAGAATAACATACAAGATCAGGGTACTTGTCTTTTAGCAGCCGTATTGTTCGAGGCACTAATCCATCTTCATTGTAAGCTTCATCTCCTGTAGAGGTCTGAAAGAGAAGAACCCATTAGTTAAAGCCAATCACAAAATAAGAAAGAATTTTGGTTGAAGAAGAACCTTTAAAACGTCTGGAACTTTCGGAAACAGCACAATGCTGTTAACACCGACATCCCGAGCCTTAGAGACCTGCGTGAAGATAAGTCAGAGACTAGTTATTATTGAGGATATTACTTATCATATGGACACAGTGTAACTAGAAAAATAATAATTACTTGCCATGAACATTTTAATGGTAAGCAAACAAAAAAAAAAAAATAAATTCTTGGATTTGTTCCAACAGCCTACTTGACGTCAAACTTCAATGTGGGGTGTGCGCTCGGGTATTCCAGATTGATTAAATTACTCACACATCACAATCTAAATCAAGTCGGATGCGTGCAAACATCTGGCTTGCTAAGAGCTTTCTAAATTCTAATGATATACAACAATTTTTCTTGAAATAAAGAATCTACGAATCCATTGGTATATAGCACAACTGGAGCATCAAAATGAACACCTAAGAGTAACCGGTTATGCATGTTAAACACACATGACTATTTTCAGGTTATAGAAAGCTATATCATCATAAAAGGTTTCATGCAGAAGGCACACCTGGTAGGAACGTGACAATACAACTTTTGTGTTCATATTGCAGCACATTTCAGCTTATGATTAGAAGACACATTCGGAACTAGGTGCTTGAGAAATAATATGGGGTTAGAGTGCTTGGAAGATCTTAAATATAAAAGACAAGCAAGAGGACCGTAACCTCTTCTACGAGTCCATGCCTCCAACCAAGCCTATAACATCCAGGCATTGCCCCAATTGGTGTGTCCTCTTCACCTGCACATCATTAGTATCGTATACGCTTAAAATAGACGTGAGAACATTGCATTTTTATTTTATTTATTTATTTTTAATTTTAAGCACATGTATACAGAATCTTATGATGGTACTGACCTTCGTGAATGAAAAGTGGATATACCAAATTTGCAGGGCTTAAACTTGTTTCTTGGAAAGCAGCCCTCAGAGCAGGTGTCCTACGATTCCGACGAGGGCGACGACTAATCGACTGACACAAACATTAACATTGTCACAAATTACTAGCAGTTATTTATAAGAACCATGCAAGGTTTCACCAATAAATGACTAATCTTGAACTGGACATGTGTTCAACTGCACATGATATAAGGAACTAACAAGTAAGTTATCAGCCTAAATTCATTGCTGTATCTTCAGCATTCAAAAGAACTAATTCGACACCAAAACAAAGAAAGTCGAAAGCCACAATACAAATAACTACCAAGGCATTCTAGAAAGGTAACAATTTGTTGAAGTGCTTAGTACAACTAACTACCCAGTCCTTACCTAAATAAGGGATAATAAAAAACTACAGCTATTACTTGTTATTGCACAAATGCCTATGAGAAACAATACAGACATCTTATCAACAAGATTGAAAATAGTACTACGCATAAACTTAAATCAAACATCTACCACATTATCACCCTTTCTCATTATCTCAGAAATGTCACAGCAACAACACTGCAATACATTCTCATAACACAATTGATATATAGTGTATGTCGTATGAACTTACAAGTGAAGGCACCACTGGGGTGCCAGCAGGAGCCGCTGGCTTGGAGGGCACCGGGGGTGCTTCTGGGATATTCCCTGCAACCACCGCAGCTTCACACTCCTCATCACTCATTCCCATCTTCTTAATAGGTACATTATCATTCGTATTACTTGCCCTCACTCTGAGCATTCGTGGCATGCTCAAGGGCATATTTGCAGAATAGAGCATAGATAAAGCCATATCAACACTCCTGCAATAATCCCACAGTACCTCTGGAATCAAACTTCCACATAAGAAGCAATTTGACATGTAAAATGAAAATTAGAGCTCATTCCAAAAGAGAAAAAAAATGAGTCTTGGAGATTATTTGATTTTTAATTGTAAGAATTCAAGAAAATCAACACATACAAAAAATAAACAGAGAAAAAATGACGATGAAAATCATTTCATCCTAATGGAAACGGAGCATAACAGATTTATGATCAGAATTTTGGGGGAAAAGATAGAGTTTTCACA